AGTCTCTGGCTTGAAGCCCTATGTTCCACTGAGAACGTTAAGGAAATAAAAAAAAATTGGCTTCCACTGAACCTTTTTTCTCAGTTCATTTTATACAGTTAGTATTAGGAGTAGTAGTAGTGATGGTTAGCTCCTGCCAGCTATTCTGTCTTATTTGAAAAATGAGAAAGACTTACGTTAGTGAGTAAAATGTTGTGTAATAATGTTTATCGGTTTTTGTCTTAACTTATGCTTTGTTGTTATGTTCCACTAACCATCTGTAAATCGTTGTAATGGGTCTAGCTACTAATTCGTAAGGAACAAAACAGAATAAATAAGTAAATTCTTTGCTTGTTCAATAAGAGTTAAGAATTAGTGAACAGAGACGTACTCCAACCTTAACTAAACATACTGTGTTCTATTCTATTATCAGAAGTTTGAAAGCAAATGGAGTTGTTGTAAAACACTTTAGAGGTTACGAATTTAAACTGATTAAATTAAGCTCACCAGAAAACAGACAGTAAGGTCAAGAGTATAATTTAAGATACATTCACATAACAGGTATGAATCGTTAGTGTTGAAATAAGTGTTATTGATTTTAGTAAACAAAATATCACCGTGGTTAAGAAATACTGGTAACAGCTCCTTCGAAAATTAATCGTTGGGTGGCTACCGCTTCACCTATATTAACTTAATTGATTTTGTTATATCGATTTTATGACGAATATCTATCAGATCACCGTAGAGGGCAATTTTGTAAACTTGTATACATTTCATATGTAAAAATAATATAATTGTAAAAGGACTAGACACATCCCACTAGTTACTAGTATCCAATCAGAGTATCCAATACATTCTTACAGGAGATCAATCGCGAGTCCGAATAGCTCAGTGGTAACGTCTCTGACTGCAGCACTGGATGACGCGGGTTCGAATCTCAGAAGAGTCATGAGTTCCTTCAGACATGCCTTGCTGACGAGAGCCAGCTAGCACAAAACCTAGGTCCAAGGCTTCCCGCCGATTGCTTCCAACCATCTAATATCATCAAATCAATGTGCACCGTGATGGCGAGTTACCTAGAATGGGGGCCACATTGCAAACCTGACTGATAGAATTCAGTCTGCACCAAAGTAAAGACTAAACACATCACACCAGTTACTAGTGTTCAATCAAAATAGCTATGAAATCCTAGCAAAATTGAAATAAATAATTCGTCAAACCTTTCCGAACTTCTTCAGGGAAATTCATCAAAAAATTAAAATAACAGGAATATATATATATATATATATATATATATATATATATATATATATATATATATAAGGACATATCTTGTCTTTAAATTCCCTATCCAATCATGTGAGTCATGAACAGACATCAAAAACCGGTAAACCAATTTCATGGACTATGATCAAGATTTTACCACAGACTTACTGTTACTAGTCTACTTTGTTGTTAAAGTGTGTACCTTTGCATCAGACTTCACTGCCGAATGAAACGTCTGGATTATTTATTTCAATTTCACTGGGATTTAAATAATTTGATTTTTTACGTGCGTGTACTTCTCTCTATCGGCGCTCAATAATTGTGGGACTATGCGGTCAAATCTTGAACAACGTTCATATAAATTGTACATACTTCAGTTGTGATTTCCTTTAAATAAGTGTAGACGTAGTCTTTAGATCCTTTTTTCCCGCCTGTACACATATGAATTGGTATTTACTTTCCGAGGCAGCATGAAAAGTAAAATTATCAGCCTTAGACTGCCATAGAGAGCTATTCGTTCGCATGGCATATTCAATGTCCTTTCATACGATATTGAGGGACTCTGTGTAGCACTGTGAAGTATTCGATGTTCAGAGTTGACAAGGTGTTCGAGGATGGAGCTGCTAGTATTAGAGAACGAAAGGACTTCGAATACGCCATCTGTACATAGCTGAATCATTGGCTATTCGGGATCTGAAAGTGGACCTCTGGATTCAAAAAGCAACTAGCCTAATATATGGATTTTCTCAGTCACCTTGTCACACCTAAATCGAAAGTTTAAAAAGATGAAAAGGTTTGTATAGGCAAAAGTGTTTATCGGCCACTATTCTTTTTTTGTCAGTCTTGAATTGCTGATTTACGGTATCTTTTTTCTGTAGCTACAAAATCTACAGGTTTTCAGTCAGAAAGGACTTCAAAGCAAAATAGTATTCCCCAATAAAATCAACTCGTTTATATATATATATATATTCGAAAGGTAGAATACCTCATCCTTTTTATATTTCATTATTCAAACTGAAATCGTTGTATTCTTTTTTTTCATTTATCGATACGATTACATTTACACTTGCTGTCTAAATGTATGGAACCATTTACATTCAAAGCTTAATAGTTTGCTAAGTTTGTGTTATAAATTTGACGTTGGCTAGAGTCTTTTAAGGGTTACATATGCGCCATCACTGTACATCGATATCACCTACCAGTACTAAGCTTTTTTTCCATTCTTCGCCTTCCTAGTGGAATATAGGGCTTCAAAGTTTTAGTAGTGGTGTTATTTTTATGCAGTAGGATTCCTAACCTTCCGTCTTTTCTGCTCTTACTGTTCGTCAACTAACAAGACAAGGCTAAGGAGTGCGTCGGTCGGCAATCAAACCCAAGACCCTGGCGGACATTAAGTCATTGTGAACCACCAGTGCATCAAACTTTTAATAATAATAATAATAATTTTTCCTTCACGTTCCCAGTGGAACATAGGGCCCCAAGCCAGTGGCTCGAAGTTTCTGTAGCAGTGCTCATTTTTAATTTTACAGGATGGGGTTGCAAGCCTCATGCCCAACCTTTCCTCTTTACCAGCATTACTTCTCGCTCAGTGAGGTAAAGGAGTGCGCCGGCCGGGAAGCGAACCCCGGACCATGTGCATAGTCGGCGAGCGTCCTAACCGCTATACCACTGACGCACGCATCAAACTTTTACTTCCTTCCAATTCAAGAATCTCTAATAATAGTGTAACAACAGAAGACAAGGGCCAATCAGCAGATCTTTTATTAAGGAAATCAACACATATTTACTGATTTTCATGTACATTATTATAGATTATTGTAAGCAAACAAACACAATCTTCTGATTGGTTGTTTCTCACAGAAAGTTAACCTTTCATCTCTTTGTGGCTGTTTCTTCAATGTCAGATCGTCTGTATGCTAACTGTGTCCGCCTACGCAAAGTCTTTGTTCTTATTTTTCTCACGACCAATGTTTGGGACATAAACATAGACGTAAATTACTGTCCACCAATTTGGCTAGCAGCCAGCTCTCACTATATTGGTACTTCGCTTAATGCTAGCATCAGAATCATTGAATCTTTCGCGGTTTAAGTTGTGGATACCAAATATATTGTGATTAATATTCAAGTATTGGTTTGTAAGGATTTGGTTGATTGGTTACAGGATTTCATCATGAGCTGACATTGGTTATAGAACCATTGGAAAACCTGGAAGTACTGGACAGCTGTTTCGTCCTAGTTTAAGACTCTTCAGTAGTACTCACACACTCGACTGGAGTTCGAAATCAAGATCTTCTGGTTACAAGGCGTGTTCGTAGACCATTAAGCCAATAGGACCCGGCCCAATGGCCCATGAATTATAACTTTTGCCAATTCGCGACATAGCGCCACCCCTAGCCAATGTCTTCGGCGAGTATTTGTCCTCACACCCGACCAGCTGCATCCTATTGGTCACGACTTCTCACTAGAACTACCTACCTGAATAGGGTCAGTCGCCAGCAAGCATCCAGTGGGAAGTCGTGACCAGTAGGGTGCAGCAGGTCTGGTGTGAGTACATTACTCGCCGAAGACATTGGCTATGGGTCGCGCTGTATCATGAATTGGCACAAGTTAGAATTCATGGGCCGTTGGATCGGGTCTCAGTGGCTTAATGGTCTACGAGCTCTCCTTGTAACCAGAAGGTCATGGGTTCGAACCCTGCCAGTGGGTGCGTACTGCCGATGATTCCCAAGAACTAGGATGAAACAGCTGTCCAGTACCCCAGGTTTTCCAATGGTTCTCTAACCAATGTCTGCTCATGATGAAATATTGTGATTAAGTTTGCTAGTGGATATTCTTAAGCCCCAGTTGAAACTTCGAACCATGGACAATATCACAAAATGATGGGAGTTTAATCATCCAATTTACAATCTATCTCTCCTTATGCTTTTCAACAGGAATTCTGCTTTATTTGAACAACTCTCTTTATTCTGTTTCTTCCAACGCTTCATTGAATGATTTGATTCGGTAACAAAAGATTATCTCGAGTTAGATCACAAACTGACATTAGTCAGAGTAACACTGAAAACCGGGAAGTACTCGGCGGCTATTTCTCTCTTGTCCAAGATTCTCTGATAGTACGCACCCATGACCTTACATAAAGGTCCTCGATTACGTCCCCAGTAGAACGAACTCAGCAGTCATTCTTTAACTGGTGTCATTCCGTGATCTGATGTACAATCATTCTAATCTCTGCAAAACAACACTTTAGAAGAAATTATTGTACAGCTTAGTACTTTTGACAAACTGTTTTTTTTTCTTTCTGAATAATCATATAATAAAGATAAGGGCAGAAGTTTGTATTTAAAGTAGGTTAAGGTCAAATTCAGAAACATATCAAAAATGTGTTTCTTCTTTTATAATTTATCTTGTTTGTACTGAATACGATTTTTAGATGATACTTTAATTTCAGTTTAGATTTCGTCACGAACCGATTAAAGACAGAAAAACATTTTTCATCCTATCAAGGTACTCCCATCCTTCAAAAGTAGGCGATACCCGACGACACCATTAGAGATCCAACCTAATAGCTTCATGCTACAAGTAGAAATTATCCAGTGATACGGTCCTCTTTTTTTTGATGTATTGTTCACCATAACTAATCAAAAATGCTTACTAATCCAAAATTTAGATAGTTTTGTTTTTTACAAAATTATCTCTAATTATATATGCTCTTCAAATTGTGCATATTCTTCCTTTTTTTGTTATTTCCTATGAAGTTGTCAAAAGAATATTCATCTTGGTATGGAGTACAACTATTTCTGAAGGTGATCGTCTTATGGCTTTGAATGACACAGATTTTATACAAGAGTTAAATGGTTACTTGGCAAGTTTGATTATTAAAAAAAAATATTTCATTGATTATTATTATTATTACTATATGCTTATTGTTATACACTTTAAATGAATCAGTTAGTTTCTTCTGAAAACAAAAATTGTGTATAATTCATATATGCACATTTGTAAACGCATACTTCTGCTTTACTAGTTTCAGTAAATTTCTGAAGATGAGTGTATATTTTACAAATGAAAATGCTATGAAATAAGTATTTGATGAATTAATGATTAGTCCTAGTGAATGAAATGGTCTGTGAGCCTGCCTTGTTAACCAGAAAACCTTGAATTTTAATCCCTATGGGGGTGGTACTGCCGAAGAGCCTCAGATTAGGACGAAACGCCATCCCATACTTTCTAACGGTTCTCTAACCGACTAATATCAACTCGTGATCAAACATGTAGCCAATCAAATCCCTGCGAAGCAAGATCTGATATCTTCCTGTTTCTATGCATATACGTGAGGCTGTGAAATTACATCGACTGAGATGGTTAGGACATGTGTTACATATCCCTAATCATCGTCTTCCTCATTGGGCAATATCAACTGACGTAGTGTCAGGCTGGAAAAGAGCTAGCGGCGGTCATACCAAAACATGACATCAGTCAATCAAATCAATAGGCGTTAGTTTAAGCCACGTAGGAAGGTGTAGAATTCCTGACCAGTCGGGGTCCTCGGGACGGTAAAAACCAATGGTTGAAAACAATTGTAACTTATGATTTCCAATGAAACTGTTTTGTTCTTCGTTATTACTTTTCGTTTGTCTCACACCTCTGTTTACTGTCTCTATTATGCATTCTTCCACCTTCTTCTTTTGCTTTGTGTGGTACATGGAGTGTGGCGACTTGAACTGCTGCACATCAGTGCAAAGTTCTATGTCGAAAACAGACGGACAGATGCATATACGTGTATATTATAAGTATTATTGTTAGTTTGTAAATCTTCTACACCTAAATTGTAAGCAATAACAATAATCTACAACACATTATAGGATAATTTTTTCGATGTAAAGCAACACACCAGAATACGGTATTATTTACTGATGATGTTTCGAGAACAGTTAATTTGATGATTAAGAGCAATAAACTGTGCTCGAAACGTCATCAGTACACATCACTATATAACACTGTGAGACTTTATCGAAATAAATTTCCTCCATAATGGAGCTGTATTCTCTAACAACAGAAGACAAGGGCCAGGCCACCGATCGTTTATTTAGGAAATCAACACATATTTATGGATTTTCATGTACATTATTATAGATTATTGTAAGCAAACAAACACAATCTTCTGATTGGTGGTTTCTCGCTGAAAGTTAAACTTTCATGTCTTTGTGGCCGTTTCTTGAAGTACAGATTATCTATCTGCAAATTGTATCCGCGTACGCAGTCTGCTGTGATTAGTTGTGGAGTCAGTATTTGTTCTTATTTTTCTCACGACCAATATTTGGGACATAAACATTGACGTAAATTACTGTCTACCAATTTTGGCCCTCACCACAATTCTGCCACAGTGACAAAGTTCTATTCTCATATCAAGGATATTTAGGCTTTAATTCGTCTAATGTGTTATTTTTAAAAGCAGGGTTAGTTAAATGTCTAACAAATCGGGCGAAAACTCCAGGTAGTATATCAGAAACCTAGATAATGAAATGAAATAATTAGAAGTCATCAATAACACTACAAAAGCGCGCAATAAGTAAGAAAAAACATTAATGAAACTATTAATTATAACATAAATAAGAAAGAATTCAAGGCATCTACTGTTTTACTACATAAGATAGGAACATGTGAAACCCTACGTAGAATTTTTGGTAGAGTGAGAACTAGAATGTCATTTAAACCTTATTTATTTATTTATTTAAACGCATAAAAAACTTGGTACAATATGGCACCAAGAAGGATGCGCCACACAATAATAATAAAACAACATACATCAAAAAGAAAAAAAGAAAGGAAAAGAAAAAAATATATATATAAGTAGAGAACGGATAAAGAACTTCATCTGGAAGGAAGACAGTCATGCTTAACTAGTTCAAACAGTGTTCGTTAACTATCATCGGGAAGGGAAGAAAGAAGGAAATCGCAACACATTCGCCATTGATTACGATTCTTGGCCATATCCGATAACGTTATGAGCCATCGATTTGAGCTATCTCTCGGACCCCAACCAGGGAGTCGTGACACACCAACCGATGCTAATCTAGCACAAAAATCCTTCATCCCACGACGCCACGTTATGGACTGACCACCTCTCCGCCTTTTCCATCCCGTCCGAGGGCTAACGAACAGAGACCTGTACGGAAGCCTCTGGGGTGACATTCGCAGCACATGTCCAAGCCACCGGGGCCGGTGTTTCCAGATGATGACACTCAATGAATGGTGAATGGCCGAGCATTTAAACCTACAAACTCACTCAGGTACAAGCTCTGTCGGCTAAAGGACCGTGTCGACCCAATTAGACAGAATAACGTAATCTACAAAATACTTTGCAATGATCATAAGTTGGACTGCGTAGATGAGTAGATCAAGAGCATTGAGGTTATCAAACTTAAGAACTCAGTTGAGTATAAACTGACTGTATTCACAGAGATGACCATACACAGAAAAAACTCAGCAATCGCAATACGTGGATTAACACACAATCAAAGAATAGGGTGGTACATAGCTACACTTCTAAAAAGTAATATAGATTGATAGACAGAGAGGTTGTACTCCGAATCTCTGTTCATCGAATTGACACCTAACATGTGCAATAGGAATGATTCAATGCCAATACCAGAGATATGGAAAATATTGCTATCAATAATGTCAAAAGATAAGAATTACTGGACTGTATAAACAAAGTTTGAAAGTTATATGAGTGCCTTAATATGATTATGTGCAAAAAATTGTGCTCTAATAATCATCAGTGAATAATACTATATCACTGTGTGCTTTCTTTCAAATAAAATTATTCTGTGGTGGAATTATTCTCCAAAACAGTGCAAGAATTCTATTCTTAAGTCTGTGACATATTTTTCATTGCAAAAATGTCACCTCAGCCAAAATTATAAGAATTTCGCTTCTCTGTGTTATTTATTGTTAACGCCTGTGAACAGATATAGCTGTATAAGTCACTCAAATAAATTTGACTGACTGACTGACTGGTTTCAACTGTTACAAGGGCAAAGTTAAACTTTCCACACCACTAACAACCAATCAGCAAACAACTTTGAACGGACCAATCATATTAAATAGGCATATATGATGAATGGAAACGTATATTTATAGAAAAAAGCATAAAAAAGGATAAAACGGTTGCAAGGGGTATCTTTCTCGAACATGTGAGAGAAACATCTCCAAGTTTAGCATAAGACTGTCAATGGAGAAGTCACACCACATCGTGTACTTATATTTATCTGAATGATGGTAAATGAGATCCTTTTGAGATCCATTTATAGCCCTTATCCTGTTTTTCAAGCAGCCCCAAAAACCTTCAATGGAATTCGCATGAGTCCTCGTAACGGGATCCACCCAGCAAACAAGTGATTTTCCCTATTTTACACGAAGCAATATCTCTACAATGTTGGTACCACTAAACTGTTGAGACGAGACTATTCTCAGTCTCGGCAGCTGCTGCTCTCACCGGATGTTTCAACACCCAGTAGTTGCAGATGTAGAAACTTTGGGTTAGGGAGAGATGCGACCTAGGGAAAAAAGTTCCTACGAAATATTAAAATTATCAGCTTATCCGCTCTAATGTTAGCACGCTTCAAACACATAGCACAACGATGAACAAACCCATCAGTTGATCTGCTATAGCTTTTTAAAGTCACGATACCAACACACGAACAAGTTCGCTCCTTCCGGAGCAACCCTAAATCCAGGCAATACTGGAAAACACTGTACTCCTCGAATTGCAACCGTAATCTTGTAAGGTCGCGTATTAGAAAAGAATCAAGCGCTCTACAGCATTGAACTGCGTTCGTGAATCTCATTGGATAATTCGACATCGTTCGTGAATCCCATTGGATAATTCGCTGATTGGTAGTTAGTGGTGTCGAAAGTTTAACTTCGCCATATTATTTTGATAAATCACGCAGTGTTATACTATAATATTAACTGATGACGTTTCGAGCACAAACTACTGCTCATTATGCACCTCTCATTGCAGTCTTACTATCTCCTGTTTAACACAGACCACTTTGTACTCGCCAATCACCTGAGACCTTTTACAACCTTGAACTGACTTGTCAATTTTCCTACCCCACATTCTACGAATCTCTTATGTCTAATCACCACCACTGTGTCCCATTTCACGATATTTTGTCATCGATTTCAGGCTAGCACGTTTGTCACACAAATACGACTATTTAATTTGACACCCCATAACTAATCTGTTGCTCTACGTTAAAAATATATCCGCCGCATAACTCGCCTTTATTGTAACGACAACAAATATTATATTTTATAATTGTAATGACCTGAAGAGAAATTATTGAAAAGAATATTCTTCTTCCAGGGTGACTTTTAATTCATAATATGAGAATATTTCACACAATCAAACCTAATTTTTAGTGCTCAGGAACACCTACCAGTGCGGTTAAATAAAGCTGTTGTCAAAATGGTCAGCAGCCCTATATCGGAGCACCTTGTGGAAACAGGTCGCAAAGTTAGCTTGCATTGAAGTGTCCTTCTCTATCACCTATCGGGTGTCGAACAAATTACCAAAGGCCTCTGCATACCGAACACTTCAAACAGCAGAGGCTATTGTAATTCGCCTTAAACAACCAGAGCTAAGTTTGAGAAAGAAGCAGGTCCAGTCATTATTCCCACCCTGCCATACTGTCGAGCCCATAAATTCATAAATTCTGTATTATATTAATGCATAGTATCTTTCACTGATGCTTTGGAAAGGTAATATCTCGATACTTTTGATTCAAGGTGATTTAAAATGCCGTCAATGTTGATCATAACGTTAATTCTTCAATTATTATGGTCATGTAAATGTAGAACTTGATGACGCATTTATCAAGAGAATCTTTTTTGTTCACTAGTCGGCCTTTTAGGAATTAAATTTTTTTATTTTAAAGTATGACGAATAAATACTTTGGTCGGTATACCTATCATTGATCGTGTGAATTCGACTTACATTAAAAAACACGAAATAGAATGTCCAGTTGTACATAGTATTTTCTATAGTTGTTTGTAAGGATTAGTTTTGTTTTTACGAGCTTATCATGGATTGATATCAGTTAAGGAACCATTGAAAACCACGGAGTACTGGACAGCTCTTTCATTCCTAGTTTTTGGGAACCATCGGCGGTGCGCACCCACCGACGACATTCGTTAGGCTCGCACTAAATCATGAATTGGTAGAAGTTAGAATTCATGAGCCAATGAATAGGTCCCAGTGGCTGAATGTGTTATACGAGCTTGCCTTGTAACCAGACGGTCTTGGGTTCGAAACCTGCCAGTGGGTGTGTACTGCCGATGATTCCCAAAAACTAGAATGAAACAGCTATCCAGTACTCCGTGGTTTTCAATGCTTCTCTAACTGATATAAATCCGTAATCAAGTGGTAAAAACCTAGTATTCTGTTGTTAATGCAGTATTGAACAGTGAAAATAGGTGAGAATAAATATTCAACTGGAACATATTGTCTGTATCACACCACCATACTACTTATTACTTCTCCTGGACCACCTACATGAACAGTTACAAGAATAGATAAATATGCTAGAAATAGTTTCTCTTAAACAATTTTCCAAATTATGTGTTTATTTTATAAATATCCAACGTATCAGAAGCTATAGACAAAGAAAAACTATCACTGATTTTCATGCCGTATCTCTTTACTAAAAACTAAAATTAATAATATACTTGTAAAATTGTTTTTGCATAAATTTTGTTTCGGTATAAAAATGATTTCAAATCTATTTTTTATACAAGTTGAAATTAGCTGACTTGTGTTATTTGACATTATAAATATATGCACATACTTGTACACACCTGTTTCCCTTTTGATCTAGACTAAACCAAGTGAAGAAACCTCACAACTGGCGACTGTTTTCAGTAAAATAGGGCAGTGTTTCGCCGGTGTGATTGATTATTTCGGTAGTGTGGAGAACGGTGTTCAGAAGGCCTCCGATGAGAATAGTCTTCTTTCAATTCCACAAGTAGAATCAATTCAGTTGAATACGAAACGAGCTTGTTATCCTCTAGGCTTTCAACATGCTACATTTTATTCTGCTCCGCGTTTAGCACTTGTTGGGTATGTTTTATTATATTATCCTTTTGTGTTTTGTTTTTTGTGTGCATAAGGTGAGATAACTAACGGTAGGGCTTGTTTTCTTGTTGGTTTTTGTGGTTGGTTTTACCATACCTTTAGATCTTAACGACAATTTGTCACCTTCTGTATGGCTGTACTATTAATTACGTGAAGACATAACAATATTGATGTGATTTCCGTTTTCGTCTTGAATATATTGTCTACACATTTCTCTACGTGAACCTACAGGACAATGACTGTTTACAATCTAAATTCAACTTCATCAATTATGATGGTTAAGTTTACCATCCTTTACAACCTGAAAGCAGAGAATGGAATTCTGTTGATCGTCTTACTTTGTAGTTTAAAGAAAGGCGAAGAACAGTGTTTTGTAAGCATAAAGATGAAATGTTTCTTTTTAAAAAAACCTTCATAGACATATTTCGTCAGACAACGTGTAACATTTAATGCATACTGTGATTGTACTTTATTTGTTCATTTAGTAGTTAGAAATCGGTACAACAACTATATATGTATATTCACTAATGTTGAGTGAAAACATGACTTTGGTTTAAGCCACTTAAAGAGATGTCGACTCTTTGACTCATGCCGTTGTAATATCCTAAGAGCTAATGTTTGGAGGCTGTTTGATGACATTGTTTTCACCCTATCTCATCATTCAGCCTCTTGAAGATACATAGGCATTAATCCACATATAATTATCCCTTCTCTCCCAATCGTCGTCCATCATTGGTGCCTTTCATCTGGTAAATGGTCTACGCTCTGGACTTTTGGATAATGAGTCACGGGTTCGGCACCTCGCCTAAGCTACTGGGGTTTGAACAACCAGGTAGTATTATTAACTGATACACAATAGGTGTTGACTCCCTTCTGACTTCGCGGAAATGCAGTTGGTAATTGTACATCAGTTTCAAAAGCCCTCAAAAAAATAAAATAAAAACCACTAGTCTTTATGATTTCAATGAAAGCACCTTATTTGTGAATAGTGATTCCTAACATTTTCGAGTTCTTTCTGTTATTATATTATTATTGTATCCTTTATTTCCTAGAGGAACATAGGGCTTCAGCTGCCCACCTCCATTGCCTTCGGTTTTCTGACAACTTTTTCACCCCGCTCCAGGTCTGTCCACATGTTTTCACCTCCTCCTCGCATGACCTCCTCCAAGTCACCCTTGCACTGACGACCAACTCGCCGCCCTTCCCTTTCGGGTTCCACTCGAGGGCTTGTCTAGTGATGTCACTTGATGGTTTCCTCAGCGTATGGCCAATCCATCGCCATTTCTTCCTGCCTATTTCTGTTAACTAAATGTTTATTATAATAATGCAACGTAACCGTGCGTCGGTGGTACAGTGGTTAGGATTCTCGCCGACCATGCACATGGTTCAGGGTTCGATCCACTACCGACGCACACCTGATACCAATGGTTGGCCTGCGAAATTTGGGCTACCGATATCACATGCTGAAAATTCCATACTTGTACCAAAAATACTGTGTGGAATCAAGCTGTAATCAAAAAAACAAAAATTAAAAAATTGTTTCTTTTAAATTCATAGAGGGCAGTAAATGTTTCCGTACTCAATATCAAATTGAGTACACATTCTTTAACTGCATAGTTTACATTGATAAATCACGTTCTTACGAGCCAAAGAAGTTCCACAGGCTTATAGTTCTCATTTCAGACAATATAAAAGCTTTTGAAAAAATATATATGCAACACTAGACAACAATCAGCATAAATGGGAGGAACCTGAAAAATACAACCTCCTTTACCTGCCTGGGAAGCATCGTTTCTACTACAGGCAAAATTGACGAGGATATCAAAGCAAGAATCGGAAAAGCAAGACAAGCTTTCACTACTCTCAAGTCTGTGTGAAGGTCAACAGCACTACTCAGCATAAAAAATAAGATCCGTTGCGTCGGTGGCACAGTGGTTAAGACTCTCGCCGACCATGCACATGATCCGAAGTTCAGTCCTCTACCTGATATCTATGGTCGGCCTGCAAGATTTGGGCTACCGATATCCATACTGAAAATTCCATACTTGTACCGAAAATACAGTGTGGAATTAAGCTGTGGAATCAATCAAAAATATATATAAATAAATCTGGACCTTCAACTTTAATTTGAAGTCAGTGCTACTTACTACACGGATCAGAGACTTGGCGCGTCATAAAGAGCACCTCAAACAAACCACAAACCTTCATTAACAGCTGTCTTCACTCAATACTCAAGATCAGATAGCCAGAAAAAATCAGCAGTAGTGAGGGATCTCTGGCAATGAGCGAACCAACCAGGAATCGATTGTGAAACAAATAGGCAGGAAGAAATGGAGATGGATTGGCCATACTTTGAGGAAATCATCAAGTGACATTACTAGACAAGCCATTTCTCGAGTGGAACCCGAAAGGGAAGCGGGCGGCGAGTTGGTCGTCAGTGTAAGGGTGTCTTGGAGGAGGTGATGTGAAGAGGAGATGAAGGCGTGTGGGCAGACTTGGAGACAGATGAAAACTCTTGCAGAGAACTGAATGCAATGGAGGTGCGCAGCTGAAGCCCTATTCTCCTCTAGGAATTAAAGGAAATAATAGTAAGTGAACAAACTCAGCAATAACTTATCTACTTGGAAATGGACAAATAAGCAATTAAAATATCATTCCATTAACAAAAATACTGTTAAAGATCTGCTGAAGAAGCTGTGGCTTACACAGCGAAACGTCCAGAAAGATCTTTTTGTGATTTTCTCCTAAACACGCTGGGATTATTTTAAATGATTTATAATGAATCAGTCTGACTTGGCGCTAAAATTATTCCAGGAAGTTCATAACACCTACGGTCCGGAAACTTATAAAGATCTGTGTATGTTTAATTAAGGACAAAGGCAGCATCAACACCTCTGTTTTAGAAACAAAGATCTATTGTTTCGGTTCGATTAATCAAACAAACTGAGAATCCAAAAGTTTCAACAGATAAAATCTATACTATAATATTTCATTCATGGAATATAGGCTCCCATTGTATGTGAGTGACTTTTCTCATTGTCTTTATGGGATGCTGATTTAATTACCTATTGGAAGTCAAACGATGGGCTTGTGAAGGTGAGATGGGTAGGACACGTGGTGCGCATTCCAAGCCCGCAGTCAGCGTAGATTAAGCTTGGGGTGGTCAAATAAAAACATTGTCATCAGTTCATGAAGTCTTTGTGACAATTAATTTAAACCACACAGAGCGAGGTTGATGACCAATAGAGCTAGATACTATCGGTCTTATAGCCCAAATTTGTTTCTCACTGGCTTAGATGCATTCACTCTTTGTAATTTCCCATATCCATTAAACCCTAGTCTTTCTCCGTGTTACTATCCTTTCTCCCATAGTCTTCTGCACATTACAGTCATTTCTTATTCCTTTTTCTGTCTCTCATTTTTCTGCCTTTGTGTATTTCATAGAGTGTGGCAAGTTGAACTTCTATGCAAAGTTATATGTTGAAATTCAGCCAGTCAGTCAGTCAGAATTGTGTATTTATTTCCTTTAAAAACTCATGAATAATGCAAAATATCTTTTCATAAGCAATATTTTCTTCAGTCAGAAGTACCTATGGTGTTTATTGACTTGCGTTATAGGTAGTTTGTCAATAATTACTTCTTAGTGGTGTAGGTATGTGTTAATAACCAGTGGGCTTAAAGCTGTGTTTCGAGTCACTGAGTTCCCCAGGTGAGTGTATATATGTATAATGCTACTTTTTCTCTCTTGTTTTTCATATTCAATTGACTATGTTTCATTTCTTTCATTTGTATACCCAGTGATTCAGCTCATCGGATACTACCACTTGCAGGTCAAGGCGTTAATCTTGGATTTGGAGATGTTGTTTGCCTTGTTTCTCATTTAGAGGATGCCGTTTCACACGGTGCTGATATCGGTAGGTGGAATAATTCTTTCCTTTTTTCTTTCTTATAAAACATGACTATTACAATAGTATTATTATTATTGTTCCTTTTGGGTTCCCAGTGGAACATAGGGCTTCAACTGCACGTCTCCACTTGCTTCTGTCTTCCTTCTGCTGTACTTTTCACCTGAATCCATGTTAGTCCATACTCTTTCAACTCTTCTTCACACGATCTCCTCCATGTCACCCTTGCACTGACGTCCCACTCGCCGCTTCCCTTTCGGCCTGGTTCCACTCGAGCTATGACCTGACGCGCGCGCGATGTCACCCAGCGACCTCATCAGTGAGTGTCCAATCCATCTACACTTTCTCCTGCATATTTTTTGGTTGGCGATTGGTTCTTGCTTTGTTTGTTCCCAGTCATAGTTTCTTTTTGGTGATTCTTTCCGGCCCGGCCATCTGATCTTCAGTATAGATCCAGCGAAGACAGTTAGTTGTTGATAAAGGTCTGCGAGAGGCTGTTGGAAATATTCTTTGTGACCCGCCCGCCCGCCTAGTTTCTGATCCGTATAGAAGAACTGACTGACTTTACGTTTGTATTGAAAATCCGACGGAATTTTGTTGTTGATGCTGAGTGAGTGACGAAGATTTCCAGATTGGTTTCAGGTTGATGAATGTGTTTCTCGCCTTCCCGATTCTCGATCGATTTGACATCCTCGTCCCTTCCGACTGCCTGTAGTGGAGACAATGCTCCCTAGATAAGTGATGAATGAAGTAACCTCTTTCAAATCTCTCCCGTTGATGGTGATTAACGCTGGATGTTGCTGTTGTTGGTTGGTTATTTTCACAACCTCCGTCTTGTCTATGTTCACCTGGAGACCTGTCTTCGCCGGCTGCTTCTTCGACCAGTTTGTCGGTTTTCGCTCGCTTGTAAGTCTTCGATTTTGTGTGTGTGACATCAAACATAAATCATGTACGCGCAAAATCCAGGTCTTCTAGGTTCTTCGCGTCGGTGCAGGATATCCCTGTCCCGTTTCTCGTTTCCCACTGTCTGACGCATAATCCATCGACCCCAATTAGGAATATCATTGGTGATAATAAGCCAGCACCCTTGTCTGACTCCTGTGTTTACTCCAAACGCCTCGCTGAGTGAGTTTTCCGTTGTGGATCACTTGACATGTTCCGTTGTCGTACAGCTGTTGAATAAGGTTGATGAATATTCGGGGTACGCCGTAGAAATTTGGTGAAGTTTCGGGGTTGCTAGCACCACGTCCCAACCCTCTCTGTTTATCCGGGCTTGGGACCGGCTAGAAAACTAGCGAGCTAATAATCTAGGTGAGGTTATTACAATAGTAGTAGGCACTTTTTTCAATTTCAAAGGAATTATTATTTATAACTCACGTAGAATTTGTCAACACGCCTACTTATTCATCATGTGAAATCAGTAAGGTTTGTAAACCTTTATCAACCTCGTTTAACAGTGTGTGTTGTGTGTGATGATGCCTTGTGTTAAGTGGTTCACAATGGACAACTCAAGTAAGTCTTTGAAGTGAAGAAGGGAGTAGGACTTGACTACCTACTGTCACCGATGATATTCCTAATTATGGTGGACTGGATTATGTGTCAGACTGTGCTTGGGACTGGGAAGATAGGAAGGAATGCGTTGGGCCGATAAGAAGACTCTAAAAGACCTGAATTTCGTGGATGACTTATTTCTAATGCCACACAAACTCGAAGACTTGCAGGCAGGCGAAAACTAACAAGCTTGGAGAATGGGTAGTCAGGAAAGACAGGACTTCAAGTGTGAACGTAGAGAAAGCAGGGGTGAGGAAAATAGCTAACTGACAACAAGCAACAATCACTCACTGTCAAGGGAGAGATTCGAAAGAAGTCACTTCTTGCATATATCCAAGCAGCATCGTTTCAACTTCAGGCGAGACGGCATAGAGGAGGACATCGAATCCAGTCAAGACAAGAAAGGCAAGTTAGACCGTAATTATTAGTCTGAAATCAATGTGGGAATCTACTCCATGCTCAGCATAAAGAACAAGATTCAAATTTTCCACACTAACATCAAGTCTCTGCCTCTGTATAGTGCAGACAATTAGCGTGGAGCTTACTGCTGCAAACTTTTATCAACAGCTGCTTTCGCTGGCTTGATATTGAAGATCAGATGACCTGCATGGAACTCTGGCAGGTGACGAACTAAACATCAAATATATACAGAGGCAAATGGAGATGGATTGGCAACACACTTAGAAGACTGTCGGGTGACATTGCACATCATGCCATCGCTCGAGTGGAACTCGATTGGGGAATGACGATTCGGGAATAATGAGTCATAGTGTTGTGTGGTGAAGATCATGTGAGCAGAAGATGAGAGTTTATGTTCAGTCGTGGTGCCATCTAAAAGAGACGTCCTGTGTTATTAAAGTCCTGTGTTCCACTCTCGAAATCTAAGTGAATTACCATGATAATAATCGTGGTACAATGATGTGACGTGGTTTACAGTTTAGGCTTGTAGCTTAACTGTGGACTGGTAATTCGGAGGCAGCTGATTTGAATCTTCCGCCATGACCCTGATTTTCATTCTGCTATAAATTATCATCAGCATCATGCATTACAGTAATAATAAGCCAATCAATACTTGGAAGGTCACAGTAGTTGATTACAGCAAAAGCGAAGGTCACACCACTCACTTTATTAAAGCCAATAAGCACAGGAAGTACTTATCGATTAATTTATCAAAATAAATAATGTCAACTGGAGCTACTAGAAATGAGTTATTTTTCATAATAATAATAATAACTATCTGAAGAATGAATCGCCTATTTGCAAGAGACAGAAGAGCAAATACGACTAATTATAACAAACCAAAAAAATTAGACAATTGAATATTCTCATCATTGTTCTGTTCATAAGCCTGCCAGCATACTTCTTGTGTGATAAGATGATTTAAGGTGTTTAATGAAGAAAAAGAACAAGATCTGTTGAATTATGGCTTAAACATGTTTTCTCTTTAGTGAAAGTTGCTTTTCACCCTCACTTATGTTTGTGTGTGTGTGTGTTGATATGTGAATGCTGTAGAACAGCTGTTAATCTGTGTTTCCAAGTTTTAATATCAACTGTCTTGTGACAAAGTAAATCCCTGCAACAGATTTTAAACGTTAATTCACTCACATAATGAAGTCAGCTTAAAGTAGGAATGATGAGTGTACTTTGTCTTGATAAACAACTCTCCCTACTCTTTTAATTCGCGGTGATCAAAGTTTACAAGGCGTCGGTGGTATAGCGGTCAGGACGCTCGCCAACCATGCACATGGTTCGGGGTTCGATCCCTGGCCGATGCACTCCTTTACCTCCCTAAGCCAGAAATAAAAGCTGGTAAGAAGGAAAGCTTGGGCATGAGGCTAGCAACCTATCCTGTAAAAATAAACACTACTGTAACATAAACTTCAAACCTCTAGCTTGAAGTCCTATGTTCCACTGGGGAATGTAAAGGAAATAAAATTTACAATAGAGGCTATGTTATGTACTAGTTTCCCCGTCGCCAAATTGTTATGTACTCGTCGCTAAATTATTGTTATGGACTGGTCGAGAAACTAATAGTCCTGACGCGAGAAGGCGGAAATCAGAAGACCACTAGGTTTGCGATGATACTTCTATTGTCCAAACACAAGGAGACGAAAATAAATGGTCTCACACCAAAGTGGTAAGTAAGTAAAGTAGTTGTAAAGTAAATCACACAAATTGTGAATGCGAATATATATAAATAATTCAGACAAGCGTGGGAAAAATCATTAGACAGTCTTAACATGAATGGCTAATTATAATGGAGTGTCGATCCAATTATACATAGCGAATATAGCAGACATGCCAACAAACATATATGGATATATGTCACCAAGCAACGGACTGTCAACAAACACTCATATTATATATAATATAATATGAGGAGAATACACATTATTAAAGGAGACAAGTCCATACAAGTGAAGTGGTCACAGACTAACCGAGCAAACAGAAAGAGAGACCAACATGCACACACACACATAAATATATATATGTGGATACATATCACCTCCCCTTTTGAGAAGATGAATGATTAGTAGGATGTTTACCTGGGGGTTTATCTGGGACCTTTGGGCTTGTTGTTGACGCCTGTCGTTTCGTCTGATTGTTGGGTTTGCGGCTTCGGCTCCGTCCGGAATTGTCTAGCATTTTATGCTTCTTCACTGTATTGCGTAGAGAATTTAGTGGGACATCAGCCAGATGCAAACGATCGAACCAATCAAGTCCCAAAACATTTAAATCATTCTTCGTGACGTAACAAATTCCTGTGAATTTGGTATTGCGGAAGGAAACAGAACATTTGAGTTCACCAATTAGTTTGAGCCGCCCACCACAGGCGCTGAGAAGAGACTGGGAAGTATTGGTGATAGGTGGTCTGCCAATATAATTCCAAAGTTTCTCTGATATAACAGTAATATCAGAGGCAGTATCTAGCTGCAGACGTGCATCATGACCATTCATCTGAAGGTCAATATATTTCCGCATAGCTGGTGTTGTGACTTGACGGGTTGCGCGTAGACTCAATGACTTTTTGGGGATTTAGGACCAACATTTTGTTGAGCTTTTGCTGGATTTTGATATCTGGGTTTGCGTGGCTGACAAAAACCATTTTTGTGACCGATGATCTTGCACTTGCTGCAACGATGATTTTTGTATGGACAAGACTTTACAAAGTGCCACGCGCCACAATGCCAGCATGGTGATGGAGGGGTCTTCTTTGCCGTATTTTGTGAAGTTGGACGAGTATGTGTAGATTTCCGCGGAACATTAGAAGAAGTAGGTGGGTCAGGAGTAGCTGATGAGAGATTTTTGCTCTTGCGTAATGCACGAATATCAGAGCTTCTCGGAGGTGTTGATTCGACCAAGTGTGTGTCTTTCTGCAGATTAATCAGCCGTTGATATTCATCAGCTATGTCATGTAATGTTAACTTGGGATTTTGTTCTAGCTGATTGAGCAGTCG